TTTCCCACATATTATTTTATCATATGCTTATTGTGTTACTCTCTTATGATACACTAATACAATTTATTTAACCAGTCAGCTCACAGATGTACATTGAATTTACTTCCACCTTATTTTTAACTAATATAAACACTACTATGTTGATAAATACACTTATATATAATTATATGTAATGATTCCCTGTGGATATTCATTGGAACAGATGATAATGGCCTGAATGAAGGTGATGGCAGTGGGATTAGAAAGGCAAAGAGGGATCAGAGAAAATTTAGAAGGTAGAATTAATAGAGTCAAGTGATCGACTGTATAGTTGAATGATATCAGGAAAACCAAAATAATTACCTACTAACATTATGCTGTTGCTCTATTTTTGTCCACTCATTTGATCTATAACGTTTATTTCTTTCATGGGAAGGAAGATGCAATCAAGAATAGAATAAACAGAGGATTTGAAGTGACGGTTAGATTATTTTTTAAACTTATAGCAAGTGTAATGAGCTCTAAACAAATTGGTCTGGTTTGGAAGAGATAGAATCGTAAGAAAGAAATGGTTTTACTTTTAACTTCTAAAGTGCATGGCCAGAAATATTAACCTAATCCTAGAGATCTGGATCATAGAATTTATCATAGTTAACTATCAAACAGAGAAGACTTTACGATACGATCTGAAGGTAGTCATCCATCATATAGAACACCATGAAACTTTCCAGACTGGGGTCAGTGAAGAGACTAGTGTCCTAGAGAGAGAAGATAAAATTGAATATAGGAAAATATTCCTTATTTGACTCCTAGTTTTACACTAGTGGTCACTAGTGTCCTAGAGAGAGAAGAGAAAATTGAATATAGGCAAACATTCCCTATTTCACTGCTAGTTTTACCTCTATGGGAGGGAGTGAAAATCAGAGATGTGTAATTCCACCTTCATTATACACTAAATTTTCATACATTCTAGAATATTCTAGTCCATTTTAACATTGTAGATACAATAGTAATAACTATTGTTCTAGATTTTCTTTTCCTTTTCAGTGAGTGAATTAAGAACCTTGAAAACTGGAATCTTTTTTCATGGAGCTATCCAGGGGTAGCATAGGGCATAGTCTTTTTTGTTTTTTCTAAGTTTCATTCAGACTTTAGTTTTCCTTCTTTTGTCTTTATGCAGATAATCAAATCTTGATCCTTAGCAGATAGGCTCAATTATTCACTTACTCAGTCAACAAATACATTAAATACCTTCCATATGGAAAGCAAATTATTTTAAGTTGTAAAATTAGTTTCAGCTACATTTTATTGTATTGTATTTTTTTAATGTTAATTGAACACATCAAGGCTTTTATGCTGGTTGGAGCATATGCTTCACACAGATCTCACTTGGTATTTTAGGATTATAATTAGAAATAAAGCAGGCCAGGCGCAGTGACTCACGCCTGTAATCCTCTCACTTTGGGAGGCTGAGGCAGGTGGATCACCTGAGGTCAGGAGTTTGAGACCTGCCTGGCCAACATGGCGAAACTCCATCTCTACTAAAAATACAAAAATTAGCCAGGCGTGGTGGCACATGCCTATAATCTCAGCTGCTTGGGAGGCTGAGGCAGGAGAATTGCTTGAACCTGGGAGGTTGCAGTAAGCCAAGATCGCACCACTGCACTCCAACCTGGGTGACAGCGAGACTTTTAAACAAACTACAACAACAAAAAACAAAGCACACACACACACAAACACACCTTCCCACAAGCCTGTAAGAAATATTGATGATGGAGCTAAAGAAACTGTGCAAAGAAACAGTTCAGAAGGACTGTCATGGCGCATCTTTTCAAAATCATTGACTAAACACACCAAGAGAAAAAAAAAAGTATGATTTCTTTGTTAGTGCTTCTAATATCTTTCCCGAGAATTAAAGTGGAACGGAGAATCCGGTGAAATTTGGTGCTTTGCATCATTAGTAAGCTCATATCTGCAAGCTAATCATGTGTGATAAGACTAAAATGTAAAAGCATTTGAGTCAATAGCTCTTTCAGATGGTTTTCTGATAAAATTGCTTCATTTACTTTCCTAACTAATTTATATAAGTGAAAAGATTAAGAGAAAAACTTATAGTAGGAGTAACAATATCCAAATAATGTATTGAACTTCATTGTTTTAGTTGGCATCTTTGCAAGCCTTTTAATAATCTGATCTCAGAAACATCTATCTTAGAAAGGGGTATACTTTTTGGCTTCCTTTACTTGAAAATAAATTAAGTTAGGGTCACAAGCAGAGGTTAGGTTACTTCTACCTGGAAATTAATCAATTTTGCCCTTTGGTGTTGCTTTCCTGCCTACAGACCTCAACACACCTTCTGTCATACAATCCTAAAGCTCCCTTTCTTGCATAGTGGCAGTTTAAAGGAATTTGAAGTTGTGGATTTCCATATTTACATAATTATATACTGAATATATAATATAATAGGGTAGGGTAAAGTGTTTTTAAAAGATGTGACATCTTAAAGAAAATCCACAGATATCATAAGTGAGTCTAATTTATTGGCAAATTTCAGGCTATGTTCTTAGTCATATTTCTGCTAGAAGAAACCTACTTTCCATTTTGTGTTTTCTCATTTGCATTACTGCAAAGTTATTCATGCATATGAAAAGGATATTATTCATCTCCATATTCCTTTCTCTCCTTATTCCAAACCCAATGGGTTCATGAGTTATACACAAAGAAACACGCTGCTATATCTATATGTTTATACGTAGATATCTATGTGATTCAAATTTGGTATTACAGCTGGATAGCAACCCCAAGTGATAGCATTATGTGCTACATGTGTCTTATTACATCATTAATGACATACCAAAATTGTCAAATATGTTGAAATCCAATAATTGTAACTGACAAGCTTTAGCATGATTTGCCTCCATTGGGAATGAAAAAGAAATAGAGGAATATATTTCTGAATTCTTCCTCAAAGTGCATATGGATGTATGATAAGCTCTTGTTTCTTACCTGCTGATATTTTTAGTGAGATGTTGTTTTCACAGTATTCAAGGTAACTGGTTTCTGAAGTTTTTATGTGCATAAAGCCATATGATCTCCTAAATTGAAATTCCAGTGGTATTCCAGAAAGAACTATGAAGGTGAACTGGCAAGAAGAAAAATGACCAACCTGACAAGGCTTTTCCCTTTCTCTAGTATTTGAATCTTCTTATCTCAATATCCCAAGGAAATCATTTCACTGGAAAGTTTAGGCAGAATCCACAGAAAAAAAATTTCTCTTTTCCACTCTCCAGTTCTCCTACCCCTTAGAAAAGCAAATGGTATTGCTTCAATTCCTGAAAGTTTTCCTTAAAATATCTTGGCATTTGCAAGGCAGAGGAAAATAGGGTTGACAGTGAATTTCATGGACACAGACCTCATTCATGACAATGATGAGGTAGTCAAGAATTCTCACCCTTTGTGTCCTGCTTTATCTGTATTTAGGGATGGCATGAAGGAGGAGAAAGAGGAAGCTTATACTTTTCTCTTTAAAATTAATTCCCATTTAGCCATTAAAGAGTGGAATCATTTTTAAGCCCAGAAGACATTGTAATTGCATTTTCCTTTTCAATAATTGTAGCAGATATTAAAGTGAATAGACAATGGCAGTCACATACAGAATAACCTGGTTTCCTAGATAGACCCACTTGTCGGAGATCAAACGGCTACAGCACATTTAGGGTTACACTCTCTTTCCCTTCCTCCTTATTCTCAACTGCAGTGGAGCTTTTTCCAAAGTTGCCATGGTAACACTATATCTGGCTGCTAGCTCTGTCGTAAGTTATTGAACTGAGACTGGCTTTTGGTTTAGCAGATAATTAGGTTCTGTCTCACAGGTTCATTTTCCTGTGACTGGGACGTGAATATGACCTACAGCTGGCCTCAATTTCAGTGTCACAGACAAAACTTTAACCCTTCCAAGCTCCTCTGGCACACTCCTGAGCACTGCTTGTGTGGTAGAGGAAGTCCAGTGTAGCTCACCCATACCTTGGGGAGGATTACCAAGTCCTCATTTTATTTTTTATCTTTAGCATAACACTAAAGAAAATATAGTTAAGGTTGTACACATAGAGTATTTTCAAAATTAAAAATATAACAACAACGTGATATATAGTTATATATTTTATATATACTACATGAAACTTTTTGCAGTCATATTATTTCCTTGATTCTCTAATAATTTTTAAGTCACACTGAAATTTCATTTGTTATAATTAGGAATCCACAGAATTTCAATTTCAAAACCTCTATTCTCAGAAATATTAGGTGGGTATTTTTATTCTCAGCTTTAAGAACTGTTTGCCAGTTCATTTACACCCCTCTCTCTACTCTTATATACCCTGAATTATAGATGACATTAAAAGGTTCCATTGGAGTCACAGGCAGACCCATGTGACAGGGAACACCGCTACCACTCTACTAAATGCCAAAATGTTCACTCCCAGGGCTTAAATCTTGCTGGTTTGGAAAACCAGCTACTTTTGAATGTTTCATTTGGAAGACTTCAATCAGTTAAATAGCTGCCCTTTGTTTAAGACAAAGAAAGAAACATAACTTTGGGAACAGATATTGAATTCACAATATCCATGGCAACACAGAGAGCTGTGGAATTACCAAGACAAGAGGTACCTCTGTATGTCAAACAATGGGAAAGACCTTCAAGGAAATCAGTTTAAAATTTTTAGCATATGTCGCGTAGAAGCTTAACATGAACAGGTAAGAAAGGAATAGGGAGAGTTGAGTTTACCAGAATTAAAACATGAGTTAAAGGAATTCCATACCTTAATTGGCTGAAGGATCACCTAACCATGTTAATAGTGAGAGGTACAATTTGTGAAAGGGAAGATTAGAAGATTCAACAATCGCATATTGGACTTACGATGTGTGTGTGTGTCTGTGCGCGTGTGTGTGCGCACGTGCGCGTGCGCATGTCCCTCATAGACTGTATTCTATTTTAATCCGTGCCTTTCATTCTCAAACTCTAGATGACAAGAGCACCTCAAAGGCAGCAGCCTCTAGGAGCAGCCATGGTCCCAGAGTTGTCCCACGGATGCAGAAAACGTAATGGAGGAGTCTGAGGTCAGAATGGGAAAAGGTTTTAAAAAGTAAAAAGGGGAGCTAATATGTGAGGAACCGATTGCTGTGCATTATTTTCCACTGAACAGACCTTCTTTTAACTTCTAATCTCAAGCACATAGCAGCTGTTGTTTTCAATATTAAAGATCAGTGTTTGTTGAATGAATGTGTAAATTCTTCCCCAATCTCTGTTCCATGAAGTAAGAACTAAGTTAGCATTCAATTATAAAGAGGACTTAGAAAGTCTGTAGGCATTTTTGATCAAAAATCCTTTTAACTGTCTTCTCATGGTTCCCGGTAACACCTAAGCCCAAAAAACTCAGGTCATTTCTTGCCTGTACTGTTGCAATAGCCTCATAATAACTGGTCTTCTCCTTTATCAACCACAGTAGTCTCCACGACATAAAGAAGAGAGGGTGCTAAAGTGTAAATTATTTCAAATCGGCACCCTCCTTGTAATTTCCCAGTGGTTTTTCCTGTCATAAGAATAACATGCAAAACTCCTTGCTTGCGAAGCCAGATATGACCTTGCCCCTGTCTACCTTACTGCCATCATCTCTCATGACTCTTCCCCTTTTTCACTCTCCATCTTGCCTTTTCCCAGCCATGCCTGCTAGTGAGCCTTAGCCTATGATCTCTCTGCCAGGGATGCATGACTGGCTCCTTTACTTTATTCTGATCTCTCTGCTCAAATGTCATCTTTTTAGAGATACCTTTCCTAAACATCTTTAAAAGCACCCCATTCACTGTGGAACACCTTTCTTGCTTTAAGTTTTCTTCATAGTGCTTATCACTTCCTGATATTATATTAGACAATGAGCAAATAAATGTATGCCTATATGCTGTTCCCACTAAAATATAAGCTCCGTTTGAACAGGAGCCTTGATTATTCATGAGTATACCCCCAGTGCCCAGAACCTAGTAGGGCTTTAATAAATATTAGGGCTTTAATAAATATTAGATTAATTTGTTGAATGAAAAAATGAATGAATAATTGAATAAAGATATCCAGGTACAGTGTCTGGGCAGCCCAACTTATGTGAAGCCAGTATAAGAATATTTCTGTGACAAAATGAATGCAATTATTCCTCTAAATGATGAAATTGCACGAGTCCACGAGTATAAAATTAAGCACGTAGTTTAGATTTCTGCTAGTCTCTTCTTCAGATTGAGGAAAAGCAAAGAAATTGAGCTTATTGCCACCTCATTCTTACATGAACTAAATCCAGAATAAAACATCATTTATATACCAAACACATGCCTACCTCAGCCACTCATGGAATGCTTTATCTTTAAAGGGACAGATAGTAAATATTTTTGGCTTTGGGGACCGTACAGTCTGTGTCACCACTACTCAGCACTTCTGTTGAGGTGTGGAATCAGCCCTAGACAACACATAAGCAAATAGGTGTGGCTCTGTTCCAATAAAATGTTATTTGTAAAACCAGGAAATCGGCAGATTTAACCCACAGGCTGTAGTTTGCTGACCCTTGAATTAGAGAGTCTTCCCCAAATCCTCTTCCCAAGTTCTTGAAAGAATGCCCATAGGACCGCGGCTCCCTCACCTGGTTCTTTCAAGAAATTAGACAAATTCAGAGATGGTTGGAGGGTGGAATGCCTACCTGTGACTTCACTATTTAGCCTGATTTCTTTCCTTTTATCTCTTTAAAGTGAGTCAGGTCTTAATGTTAAACTGTCTCTAAAGTAGCAATAACTGGGCCATGTCAAATACTCCCAATGACAAAATTTCTTCTTGGAGAATGAATGAGGGTTGCATACAGCGGTGTGTTGGCAAATGTTTAGCAACTGGCTCTCTTACTGATTTCTCCCATCCTGGCCATCTGAAACTACCAGTATGATGTCACTTAATGTAGAGTTGGGAAAAGACAGTCTCTTGAATCAGTATGAGCTGGGTCCAACCCACTGCTGAACACTTATGTAAAAGCTACAATAGCTCTGCTCACTGCCATTGCAAAGTCTGGAGGAAAGAGTAGTGGGCTTGATAGGAGCAATTGGTTGGATAATCTTTTGCAATGCCAATAAATAATGAAAAAGTATATAAATATAATGCTGTATAGAAAGCTCTCAAGTTCAGTGTTTGGTTAAAATACATATTCAGTAAATGGTAGCTATTATCGTCTTAGTTTAAGTTACTGAAAGCATTAAAATTAAATGTGTAGCTACAGACTCAATCCAGTTTTAATGTCATTGTGTTAATAAGGCCTCTTAACATTGAAGCAACAAAGATAAAGGAATTTTTTTGTAGCTATTCACGATTCTGCCCAGCTCAAGGTAAAGATAGTAACAAAATACTCCAACCAGAATAAAAGAAGTCTCCGCTTGACTGCAGCTCTTCACAACACTTCACAAGGGTCAAGCTGTGTTAGTTTCCTTCAGTGTTAAACAGAATGCATCTTAGGAGAATAGTTCAACTATTGATTAAATAGTAGGTTCAAGTTGACTATAATCCCGACTAGTACACTCTAAGACCAGGGATGGGCCAACAGAAGAGTAAAGTTTTCCACTGAAGTTTCGAGGCAAACACTCAGATAGAAGTAGTAATATGGATGCCTTGTATTATTTGGTCCCATACAATACTGTCCCAGCCCAGTTGTGCAAAACTGGTGGAATAAAAGGCAAAAATATTGACAACAGTTTCGATAACTGGATTCCAAAATGGATGTCCATCTAAGAGAAATTAATGAAAAAAAAGTATATGGACCTTGAAAGACATTATTACACAGTTTAGTTTTAAACACTCAGTTTTTGTTAGAAAAGGCTAATATTTGCTGTTTTGAACACTACAAAAGTGCTTTTTGAACTATTTACTCGCAAACCTCCTCCACCCATTCCACTCCATCTATAATGCTTTCTGCACACCTATGAAAGGTATGACTTAGTGTTTGGTCTGTGAAGTAAAGTTAAAAAGGAAGCATTTCTTTTTACATTCTAGCTAATGTTGATATTTTTCTCACGCTTCTATTAGCACATAATTCAGGTACATTAGTTTTGAAGTTTTTAATCTGCTGTGCATCCTGAGGGCTCTCTGTTCTAGATCAACGTTATCTGTGGAACACCAGCCACGTCCTGGGCAGAAGTATTTCTCCCTGTTGTCCAAATATTACTGAATCGGTTGAGTTTTCTCTGTTTTCAATGAATTATTCCATATGTTTCTTTGCTACATTTTCTTTTGGCTTTCTGTTCACAGTAAATGATAGCTTTTGTTTTTAAAAACTTATGTTATGAAAATTCCAAATATATGCCGATTAGAGAGAATAGCATAATGAACCTCTATGTGCTTATCACACATATAGTTCAACTAATTAAATTATATCAATTTATGGCCAATCTGGTTTCATTTATTACATCATTCGCTCATTCCTAACTCCCTGGATTATTTTGAAGTGAACTCATACATCATATAATATCCATATATCAATAAATATCTCAGTATGCATCTTTAAAAAGAAGGCACTGTTTGTTAAACCTCAATAGCATAATGACACCTACCAATATTTGCAGTATTTCCTTAGTATTATCAAATTCCATAAGTCTGCAAGCTTCTGATTATCTCATTTTTGTTTATACAGTTAATTTGTTTGAATGAAGATGGCATTTGATTGATATGTTTCTGAAGTCCCTTTTAATCTATAGGTTCCCCTCTCATTTAATCTTTTGCAACTTATTTATTGATGAAACTGGATTTTTTGTCCTTTATTGGTTCTCTCATTCTGAAATTTGCTGTAATGTCATTAACCATGTTCTTCTTTCCTGTATTTTCTGCAAGCTTTGAGGTAGGCAAAAATATTTTAATCAGATTCCTTTTTTTTATTTTAGCAAGATTTACTCATAAATAATATTGTATATGTTCATGAAAATAGAAATAAAAATTGAAATAAAAAAGAAATAACAGAAAAAGAACAGAAATTTTTAATAAGTAATATTGTAATAAATCCCAATACAACATAGAGAACCTGACTTTATTGAAGTTAGTGTGAGGATATTTGTGATTTTAAAACTATACATTATGGTTATGTCATCTAGAAATCAAATATTCAAGCTCATATGTTAAAATTAGTCATCGTTACGTTTTTCCAAAATAAAAAATAAAACGAAACCAACCTTAACCATCAGTGATTCCATCAACTGAGCAAGTTTGAGTAGCATTACCCTGGTGAATATCATACTATCGATTATTCTACTCTTGTACCTGAAACTGGATAACAGTATGAAGAACATCCTGAACAAATACAGGATACATATTTAGACCTTCTCCAATCTAGAGGAATACTTGGTTTTCATCAGAATGAAGAATGCGGAGTATAGTTTTAGAACCAGACTTCTTTGATGACCCTGAAGTAAACCAGTGTGGACCAGGTAACAGGAGCAATTCAAGGCATCAGAATTTTAGGGGGTTCTTGTGGTGGAGCACAATGAGGCATTTTAGCCTACTCTAAGAAAATAGTTCATCCCTGTCTATATCCTGGGAAGCAGAGTTCAGATAAAACTATGAAGACACAATGTGAAATGTCAGTTGTCTTTGCAAAACATAAGTATATGGGAATGGGGGAAAAGTATGTAATTATTTATGGCTTTTCAAAAATGTATGGCTTTTAAAAAGCCACCTCTATAGTGCCTTTTTGATTCCTCTTCTGAAAAAATAAACCTGGAAAAATTAGTAGTCTTTAATTTATAGTTAGTTAGCACATTATGACAGAACTTTAATTTCATATCTCACTTGATAGAAATGAAATAATACGTTTTCCCATTATATAATGATTGGAGTTAATTAAATATAGTTAGTATTCCATCTACATTGATGCTTTTTGTTCAAATCTATGGTATTATGTGTAAATATGCCAGTTATTCAGTAAAACATCACTAAAATTAGACCTATATTGTTTTGAAACTGTTAGAGAATATCTTCTCCGAATTCTGAGAGCTGTATTATATTAGTTTAACTAGTTATCTTCACATTCTGAAGTTCCCCGAATCTGTTTTAA